TTTTTTTTTTTTCTATATTAAAAAAGTTTTCGCTTTATTTTTAATGAATTACTCCCTCAATTTTGGAATTTTTTTTTTTTTACAAGTTGTGGCAAAATTGGTTCAAATTTAATGAGCTCCTCCCATTTGGCTTGGATACTTCGTCGCGCTTGGTAAAACGACACGTCGCAGAATGGCGGTGCATATCATTAACTGTATTCGATACTCGGGCGCGTCCCTCCGTATGATTATGCTTACGCTGAGAATCCAACTTAAAATCACTTTCGCGGGACACGCAAACGTTATTAGCACAGAGAGAGGGAGGTGGGGGGGGGGGGTTGCAAACGGGATCCACTGGACCGCGTTACAAGTACATGCACGGGGGTAGGAGAACAAGGAGACATGTTATGTGTTATATTATCATATGGTATATATATATAGATACGGAGTTAATACACAAAATGAGGGGGTGGAAAAGCACCCGCGTACTTTATTAGTCGGCCACGTGCCGCGTGTGGATGCACAACCCCCTTACGCATTCCCTTCTTGTACCCGAAGCTACACGCTATATGTTGAATCCACTGTGCTACACCGGGCACTCGTCAAAGACTAATACAATACACACGCATATATTAAACTCGTGACACTCGTAGCGTGAATTACATTGTCTCCTTGTAAAGTTATACTTTTATGTACTGTCATGTAGTACGAGGTTTCTCGGGACCAGTGAGTGTGCGCTCGCGTGTGAGTATTTTTAGAGGATAATATCCTCGGGAGAACTGTTTTTTTTTTTTTTTTTTTTTTTCATATTATAATATGTGATATATATGTTCGGGGAATTTCACCCAAGTCTACAAAAATACAGGTTTACACAATTGGCTGTAGCGTGTGAGTGCGGTGCAGAGAAGGTGTATTGTGTTCGGCTGTAACGTGTCAAGGCTGCGCGTACAATGTAAACGCCGAGGCTTCTCCTGAGATTGAATAGATAAGGGGCTCCATTGTAACAAAGGCATTAAGGACGACGGTCGGAAATAATTTATTTTTCCATAACAATAAAACATGATTTATACAAATTGTATAGGGCATATACTTTTGAAATCTCAGCGAGTGGCTCGGGTGTGTATTTAAGTATAAGGTATAAGTGGCGTCATAAAACAAACTGATTTCGCATGCACGGGAGCGCCGCGTCTTCGGTGGCTGTCTGCACGAGCGAGTTCGTTCGTGTGTATCGGTATGAGTTTGCGTTAGATTACATTACATTGCCGAGGACGGGGACAAGGTATCGACGAGAAAGGAAAAAGTTTTTCCTCGCTCATTATACTATTGACTCTTTTCTTTCGTTTTTTTCGAAGCGCAAACGATTTCGCGCCGATTCGGTATTCCGATCTCGCGTGTGCCGGGCCGTCACGTCGAGGGATCGATCGGTTTCGCATTTCGGCGCTCGTGCGTGAACCCCCCCCCCAACCCCCACTGCTGGATTTAGCCACCATATAGTACATAATATACGAACAGGCTTTTTGGTTTCTTTCGAGTGGTTGTTTTTTTTCCTTTTTTTTTTTTTTTTTCACGTGAACTGCATACGGAACTCGGAACATCACAATCGGCTTAATTTTCTTACAAAGCGTGCGCTTAAACTCAAGAGGCTGTGCATATTAAATCGTAATACGTATAACAAAAGGGCAAATCTTAAAGACGATGTAGACAATTCGTCAAATTATATTACGTGTAATGCGATTAAGGGCGGTACTTTGTATTGTATGTTGCAAATGTATACTCGAGTCAAAAACAATATGGTGACACGAGCGAACGTGTGCATATACAGTTTGTTTAAACAGTATACTGGCTACAATAATAAGGAAAAAATTTTATTTTTGTTATCAGTCAACGTATGCTGGAATATTTGTTTTTTCATGATAAAAGTGGTAGTATTTGTAAAAAATATTTTAATTCAAATTTTTGATTAAAATGAACAAGTTTTTCAAAATGGAAAATGAAACAAAGTGGCTTTCTGAGTCATAATGCGTTTAAACTTATCGCATTTCGATCGACGAATAAATACAGATACGATTTTATTATCATGCTTAACGTATGGTACACTGTAACTATGATGCAGTACTTGCGCTAGCCTAACAGCTCAACGCTCAAGCCAGTCTAGTGGTGCAGCTGACGCGCTAGTCTGGTGTCCCGTGCGTTCCAAACAAGCGGCAGCTCAACCGCGCCACCTTAAGGACGGATCACGCGATAGGTTTCTCTCAGTGTACCTATTAAGTATAGTGTCTTACCATTACATTACCAGTTCTACCGCTCAATCTTTAAAGAATACACGCGTACTTCCACGTGGGATATATTGAAACGATTTCCTATTGTTGAATCTCTATTTAAATTTACTGTTCAGTCGGACGAGAGAAAACGTAAATTTCATTTAGACTTTCGTATGAATTTAAGTGTGAAAAAAAAAAAAGAAATTTCATTTCCGGATGAATATGTCCCAGTTGATCCCCAAGTCACGCCCTTGATCTCACCAAATCGAATATAAATGTTTGTAATGAAAAACCGTGTGGTATAAATCATACCAATGTAACACCCCTTGTTTTCAATACAAAAGAGTTACGATACATATACAGAACAAATTCACGGTTCCCCCTCTCTCTATCCAATGACACCCTCATTTGTGAAGAAATTGGTCCCCATAAACCCGCCCCCATTTCGTATTCGAATCCATCCGTTTCCTGCACACATACTCCAAGCACGTGCGCAAATCATCTTCACAGATCAGGGCCACAACCATCGTCGCGAATCACAAGAGGTACGTACACATATACCTACAAGGAAAAAGGAAAGAAAAAGGGTTGGGGGGGGGGAATGGAAGCGGAGCATAATATTATCATGAGAATAGAGGTTCGCGATGGATTCGGGCTTGCATTATATATATATAAAACCGCAAGCGAGGAGGTCGAGGCTACGGCAGACGAAACAGACAGACAGCTCTATAGAAAGAGGCCCCCCCCCCCAGAGAGAGGCGCCGTATGCACCGGAGCTTGCAATTAACTGCATCGCCAGTACACACACTAGCACACTGCAAGCTCTGCACTGTACGAGGGAGGTATAGCCTCGGCCCTGCGGTCGGCGCAAGCTCGAGCCCTCCCACTCTCCGCGGGGAGTATCTCCCCCTCGGCTGCGCGCGCACAAGGTCGCGTGGGTGGAGCTTGCGAGAGAGAGAGAGAGAGGCCGTGCCAGCCACCCACACTCGGGCACGTACCTTACATTGCACCCACACGTGCAACGGGGTGGGACCCAACGGGGTTGCGAGCTCCGGCGCGCGCGAAAGCTCGAGCAGTCGTCGCCTGCGTTCGGCAGAGCACAGCGTCCGGCTGTGCGTCTGTGTCTGCGCGAGCGCGCGTGTGTGTGTGGGCACGGCCCTGCCGAGGCCCGCGCCATACTCCCCCCACACGTTAGTTTTTTTTTTTATGAGCTCCTCCCATTTGGCTTGGATACTTCGTCGCGCTTGGTAAAACGACACGTCGCAGAATGGCGGTGCATATCATTAACTGTATTCGATACTNAGTTGATTGATCGATCGAGGGTCCGAAATTATCTCTCGAGCGCTTTACAGCCATGTCCTTTCATGTTTTTCCCTCGATTTATTGACACGGACTTTATCTAATGGGTTCCTAAAAAAACGAAAAAAAAAAAATAAATAAATCTCATTCAACCCTTTTGGTGCACGCACGCGCGTCAGCTTTTGACCGAGGTATCGACCATTTGCATATATACAGAAAACGCCCGCACACCTGCTCTCAAATTTGTAGTGGATTGTTGTTTGTTTGTTTGTTTGTTTTTTTTTTTTTTTTGCTCGGGTATATAGATGCATGTTTTTCTTGCGGAGCATGAAGTCTTGCATAAAATTTTTGTCTCGCTGATTGCTGGTTTTGGCGCCTGTAAGAGGTAGACAAGCAATTTTGCCGAAAATCGCATGTTTTGGGGAGTTTAGCTTAATTGAATCGCGGCAAGAGCATCACAGTCGCGCGACGGTATTCATTGCGCGGAGCACCAAATTACACGGGTGCCGTAATCTCATCCTCATCTAAACTCATATACCTCTCTGTATATAGGGTAGGCGATCTCTGGATTTTTCGCTCTTTAAATATTCCCTTCCGGATCATCCCTATACGCATGGCTCTTTGGTGCTGGAATTTCGATAGCTCCGCTCGACGAGTCCTGTAACCATGTATACATACATACAAGCAGTGGGTCAATGGTCAGGAGTTTAAAGCTTCCTTCATTGTGATTTTCAAGAAAAACAAGAACATCACTTTCAGTCTGCTCCGCTAAAAAAAAAAAAAAAAAAAAAAAATACCATCTCGTACCGATAACCCGTGCGAATATCGGCTCGATCGGCTTGCCTGCTTTCTCACCGCGCCTCCGTGTATAAAGAATTAGTATGGACATGTACACGCGAGAAGGTACGTGGACGAGCACAAAGTATAATATACGAGAGCCCGACGGCGACGGATCTTCTATAGGTACGCACACATACCATCGGCTTCCCCGGCGCGGAATACCGATCCGTACAGGCATATATATATAATATATATATTATGGACTCGGAGTTCGACGCTCGGGACGCGAAGGTTGTTCGCGGCTTTACGTTCACTGTAAGTTTATCTCTCTCTCTCTCTCCTGTTGGTACAATATATACTTACCTACACGTACAGCGAGCGAGTACGCGTGAAGCGTACAAGTATACCCACCAACTGCCGCAGATCGAGTCGGTCCTCCACGCGCGCCTCCCCTTTCGATCTTTCATCCTTTGCCGATTCTCATTTTATTTTATTTTATCTTATTTTTTGTTCACTTACTTTCTTTACTTGTTGCTTTGAACTTGTCATTTTGAGTTGCAAAAATCGAGGTGTGACGGTCGCGTCTGGTGAATCGTCGCCGATCACCGAGACGCCGTGCATCACCCGGTCACCAGTGACGTACGTGGGATTCATCATTTATGCCCTGTGGATTGTTTCCAGGTATCAAATGTAATTGTGCGCGCGGAAAAAGGGGGATAAAAAGCGCGAAAAGTGCGGGATAAACAACAAGAGCTAAAAATCGGTTCGAGGAGCAAACGGACCTGCGTCGTTTGGATATAGATAAAGAAGATATACAAAGACAAGATGACGACGACGAAGATGCCCCGCTCGCTGCTCGCCGGCTTGCTCGTTTGCGTCTCCCTGGTGCTGCATACAGGTAATTAATTTTTTTTTTCTTCTCCATGTTACTTTTGTTACTATGTAGTCATGGAAAAAGATGCGCCTGTGTTGGCTGTAGGCAGAGGATTTCGACACGATTATTTTTTATTGCGCTTCGTATGTGCTGAATCGCGCTGAGATGAATCGAATGTGTGACACTGATAAATGCGCCCTAGAACTGACTAATAACAATATACACTGAAAACTGTTGTGAAACAAGATAAACTACTACTTTGTCTCTTCGTTTCATAAATTTTTATTTCCATATTTTAAAATCGCAAAAAATCGGTAATTTCAACACAAGATAGAGAGAGAGAATGAAAGGAAAAATAAAAACAAAAAAAAAGCAGACGCAATGGCACACTTTGAAATGTGAAAGCGAGTACTTGTCTTGTGGCTTTCTCTGCACGCTTGACCATACTCGAAATTCACGAAAGGCCAACTGGATTTTTTGTACCTATTTTGATCGATTTTTCTTTAAAAAAAAACCCACACAGACACACACATAATACAATGCGATTTTTGATAAATCGTATCGATCACCGTACAATGATCAAGTGCCCCTTTGTTTGAGCAAACAATAATAATACTCGTAAGGAAGCATATGGACCAAGATAAGATCAAACTGCATTCGCGAAAATATCGCGGCGGGGCACGAAACCCAATAGGGCACTAAAATGAAAAAATAAAAAAAAAACCTGATGTAATTAAGATTCAGTTGCGATAAGAAGTTCATGGATGTGCTAGAGCAACAAACCATTGCAACCAAAGGGACTCCAAAAAATAGACCCAAGAGACTCGTATCTGTAATTACGATCCACGTAGGTGTTAATTTCATATTTCCCAGACATAGAAAATTACGGTTCCTCGCTTCATTCGGCACCTCCCACGCTCGCGACGAAAACAGCAAGATGATTCCTTATTTGGGCCAAAAAAAAAAAAAAAAAAAAAAAAAAAGCCATACTTTTCACTCGGAACTTAATCTCACGTATACATATCCGTAACATCCCGAAAACCACGCAAACACTCGCGTAAATGCAGCTTTCCACATTAGCATGCAAACGGCGTACAGCGCACTTTTTATCTAATACAGCTATATAGGTATATAAGTACCAAAATTAGCGCTTCTACGTGGCCCATTGTGCCAAAGTATGTACCTACCACACACACATTATAAAAACTCCAAATCCTACTGCGAGTGTCCATGCAGGCTGTATTGCGTAACTGTGGGCTCGCGTAAGTGTACATGTGGCCCGGTCCACCCGGTTCAAGGAAACTTTCACTCGGCAAGCCAAGCTATAATACGTGTGTGCTCGGCACGGATATTACGATTCCCTCCTCTTCTTCTCTGCCGATCTGCCTCTGTTGTGCGGTTGCAGTGCGCATCGGGGCATCATTTTATTAAACCCCTAAAAGCTCGGCTTATCCGATGCTCCCGTTTCCCGAATTTCCTCGTTTTCGAGCCTCACCTTGTCTCTCGTGCAACGTGCAGCGCGACGCGGTTCATCAAAGTTGAAAAATCGGTAACTAGTACATCCTTCACTTACGCGCCGTATCGATGAGAAAATCAAAAATATCTCAACATCACCCCTGTAACAACAAGTACATGTCGGTAGATGCAGTTGGCGGAGAAAGAAAAAACAACAAAAAGCCACGCGGTTAAATAAGAAAAGGTGTGCTAGATATAGACGGACTTCTCATCTATATTTCCCACATCCATGTACATACTTACGACCTTCGCCAGGAGAGAAACGAGAAAATACATATAAATTTCAAAACTAGGCGTTAGCTATTTGCGCAATACTGTATATACATCACGGTTATAACGCGACATACCCATCGGGTGATTAAACGCCATCGAGTAGCTAAGCAAATTTAAAAGTATCGCTGTACCTGCATAATACGTATAGACACGTAAAAGTGATTGTCAATGGATAATTATATATGCTTATGTAACTATATTCCCATGTGGGTATCCGGCAATTACCGTGTCTCGGTGAAACAAGTATACAGTGCAGTCCATACGCACCGAGAGAACCGTTGGATATTATTGGTGAGAAAAAAAAAAAATCTGCCATTGCCCAATCGTCTCTGTACGTATTGTGTGTTGTCCATGTTGCCCCGTGACTTTTCTACCGGGGGTATACGACGCGTGTGAGTTTCCAGTCGAACGAGTTGTACAACGTCAGCGACGAGTTTTCCCCGGGAGATCGTTAGACTCGCGATAAACATCGTCAACAAACTCTCATACACTGGTGTTAATGTATATAGTTGGCCACTTAATTGTGTGCGACTACTTATGCCTGTTTGGATTATCGGAATCGAGGTAAAGTCCCCTCGGGCAATCGATTTCTAATGAAACAGTGAGCCATTTGAACAGGTCGTCGTAACGAAACGAACCGATTTTTAGAAAAACTACTTTATAAACGAGACAATATTATTTTTTAGTTTATTTTATAATTAATATCTCGAGAAAACGCGTTCCTTTTAAATGTTCTCTGATCGAGGCTTCTATATTGAAAAATCGAATCTCTTCGCACAAAAAGGGATACATCGTAGATGTTCTTACTCGTTTTTTTGTTCTTCAAGCTTTCAAATTTGAAATTCCCTCTTTACCGTTAGGGTTCTACTTTTTCCGCCCGAGACGCCCCTATTGGGGAAAACGAGCGGGGAAACCGATTCCGCTGTACACATACCTGTATATAGTTACATACATGCCGACCGTTCGAAATCTCGTACAGCTAACAAAAAAGGATCGGACACTCGATGGCCCACGTAGTAATAAGTTACCCAAGTTACGACAACTCACCGGAGCGATCCTATATAAATGTATCCGCAGGATATAATACACTTGGAAAATAAAAGCCGGGCATCGACACTCGTACGATTTCAATCGATCAGCGTAGTTGTCACCAGCAAATTCCACAAACATCTCCCAAAGACGGTAACTTTCTCCTCTTTCCTCCTTGGCTAAAGTGCGCCCATACACATGGCAAGAGCCTATATATTATAAGCTCGCGCTCGGGGAATATTGTTTTCGTGCTCGCATATAATATATCCTCTCCCGGCGGACTGGCGCACAAATTGCTGGCGTTTAGCGGCTTAGGTGGATTACTCTCCATGGGGTATTATATAAGTACAGCACGTTATAGGGGAGTAAGACAACAACGTGTAGAGCCATCATAGTACACATATTAGGTATACGTGCGTATATGGGTATACGATGTATTGTTGCATCTCCGATCGAAGAAGTAACGTGGTGCTCTAATGCCTCGGATTTACAATATCACGCGCACGTGGGTGTACTTGCATTTTGGCGCTTGTGCATGTATATGGGTATGCGCCCTCTTTTACAGGTGTACACGTAATAATTAGCGATTTTCAGCTCGACGCTGGATTTTCGCGCATTGGGGTATAGGTATGTAAAATATATGAAAAATGCGCCCTTTTAAGTACCGAAAAACCCTTTTTCTTTTATTTTATTTTTTTTTTTTTTAAGATTATTTAAAATTTTTCAAAATAAGCCGACTCTGACGATTCCGTACGATTGTAATGCACGCGCTCAAATAGAGCTTGTCTTTGCAAAAAATCGGTGGGGGAATAATGGAGGGTTAAACATCGAGGGGGGGGGGTAGGAAGAGAAAGGATTATATACTCCAACAGAATGGACTCGAGCTACTTTCATCAGTTGTACCACGAGAGGGTGCGCCCAATCGGCTCAAATGGCTCGTCCGTCGGAGATTACCCCTTATAATAGTACACACACATATATGTATATATGTACAAGTTTTAATGAGCTTATACGCGCTGGAACCGATTTTTCCCGCCGACTTTTTATAGATACCGAGAGGAGCCTTTTTGAAAGTTATACTCCAATGTCTTTGTTGAACGAGTATTATCATCGTTTGAAAACGTGAAAAAGCTCGACTCGAGCGCCCTATATCGTCCCGAGGTTGGAGAAAAAACACAACAATCAAAAAAAGGGCCCCAAGAGCCGTTTTAACGATAAAGTGGACTCCCCCGAAAATCGACGATTTAAATTCATCTAGAGCAAATAACATGTATTACACACGCGCCAACTTTGTGAAAAAGCTCCCTTCATATTCCTTCCTGCGCACACGCGACGCATCTCCTCAAAAAATAAGTAAATAGAAAGAAAAAAAAAAAAAAAAATGTCGTTGGGCAAAGAAAGAAAAAGCTATGGAGAGGCAGAGAGAAAAAACGCCTTCGGCTGCCGAGAGACAATGACTCGCGGCGGCTTTTCTTCTCGCGAACGAGCTACGCAGGGAGAGTGAAAAAAAAAAAAAAAATCTCGTTAAAAAAAAGCGCATTGTGCGCGCGCGCACAAGCCAACACCGGATTATAATTATATTATATATATACCATATGCCGGGCTCTCTCGGCTGTACGTGATTTCTACGCGAGCCCGAGGATTATACACGCAAGCCCATTCGGCCTCGTCGGGAGTTTAAGAGCATCTTTCTGCTCTTTTTTTATTATTTACCAAGATTTCTTTTTTTTTTCGAAACATCGGTCCCTCTCTGTATAGATTTGTCCATCCAACAACGCGATAAAGAAACAATAACCCAATTATTTTCGCGAATGCATTATACCACGGGTTCGGGGGTGAGGGAGTGAATTACGACAAATGTATATACATCCCGACGGAGAGCGAATTCCTCGTTCCCCGTAGTCGATCGGTAAAAGTACAGATCCAATTCCACGGGGCTTCGCGGTAGATTGCACCCGCTCGTGGGTACATGTGGACCCTTTGGTCGATATTTTTCCAGAGGAATCGCGATACTACGCATGAACTCGGAAAATCCGGATGAGCGATGGCTCGGGCGCGCGCCACGGGAGCGTGAAATTTCGGCTGCGCGCGGTATCGACGCCATTCCAGGATATAATATGTATGCTTATGTCGATCTATACGACTCGTGGTTTTAAACAGAAATGAGTAACACGTTACAGTTATTTATAGTAATGATTCGTTGTCCA